CCAGGAACCTGTTTCACCTGAACCTTCAGGTGGCAGCCATATTCTGTTGTCTTACTGTAAGCCACCCTGAGCTTCTGCTGGGAAGTGGCACCTAGATCAAGAGAATATGATTCTTTTTACCTTTCAGCATTTTTGAGTCTCTTGTACCTCTCTCTCTCTCCATTTCCCACTTCAGCAATTGCCACTTCCTAACCTATGTGCTTTACTTCTAACCTCACCTCCATCTGTGAAAAGGATCATTTAAGTTTTTAAGTGGCAAGTGTCACTGCTTCAGAACTGAGTTACAATCCGATTAAAAGAACAGGGAGTTCATATCTATGTTACTGTTTCCGGTACCTACAGACTAAGGCGGATTTTATTACAGTGGCTGCACTCTTCATATCTGGAAGAGTCTCTCTGTAGTCATGATGGCTAGAAACTTTTTCTTTTACATGTTCTCGGTGTATGGGCAAAATAAGAGTTATCCTGCAAGGAAAAAAAAAATGCCCTAGATTTTGTCCTTCAGATTTTTCAGGAACATGTTTTCAGATTTGGCCTAGGCCTATGGGTAAGTGTCCTCTCAGCAAGTTGCATCAAATAGTCAAGTTGCCAGAAAAAACAAAGACAAGTATACAATATTGGTCATAGTTTCAGTTTAAGATTTTAACTTACTGCTTTGGATCATTTTCACATAAACTATTAAAATAAATCCTAATTTTGCTGATTAATGCAACAGACCTGTTTTTCCAAATTGTTCCATTGGATACATTGCAATTGTCCCACATGCTACAGGAAAAGAGATGAGACACTAAGAAAGTAGCTCAAGAAGGTTGCAGCTTTATTAAAAAGCACACTTGAGTTATCTAGCAATCATCCATGCAGTACAGGTTATTCTTTCTATGGCCATCCATTTCATCTACTGGAGGACTGCCAGTAGCTGGGCATCCTATTTAGCTGGTCCCAGCAACATTGCTGAAAGCCTTCTTCCTCTCATCTAATGATTAGCATGTCAAGAAAGAAGGGTTTATATTCTCACTACAGTGGTAGACATTCGGAGCCCCCAACCCCATTCCCCACTTCCTTAGGAACTGCCTTCTAACCTAAATCCACATCCAGTACTTGTTTGCACACCGCATAAGCCTTTTCCCCAAAAAACAGCCCCCAAAATTGGGGTATATGTCGTAAGCAGAGAAGGTGATTTTCCACCAAGAATAGAATCGCCATACTTTGAATCCTGCTCCACAAGTGCAGTAGGAGTGGTATTATTATTAATCAAACAGCTGATGTTCCACTAATCAAGCTAACCTTTCTTCTGGCAATTTGGCTGTGCACCAGCTACTCCTGGTCTCTCTCTCTCTATTTTGCACTTTTCAAACTCTTTGCAAAATCACAGATTCACCCATGGAGACCAGTCTTCAGCAGCAGCTAGGGTTTCACCTTTTAGCTAAGCATGAGAGAAAGAGTGAGTGGGCAGAAGATTAAGTCCTATTTCTGCTGTATACAGCCATAACTATGAAAAAAAAACTCCTTCATTCTGCCCTCCCAAATATAAGGTGCTTGGTCTTATCTGGGGTTGTGATGAGCCATATTCCCTCTCATACAACAGATTATGATAGCACTGAATTCTAAAACCTGACCTATGCCACATGGTCCCTGCTTTTGGGAGAGATGGAAAAGAACGTAGGGGAAAATTCCCCGCACTGCCCAGTCCAATACAAGGACCGAATCAGGGGAATTTCTTTCCACACCCTAAAAGAGTTGACTGGCATGAAGTTTACAGAAAGAACTGCTTTGACATTAATCTCAAGATAGACAAGAACGGTGAAGGGAATTTTTCTTCCTAGCATGAGTAGGCCCCAGGCCAGAGGAAGAACTTATAAACCACAGGCAGGCAATTATTTCTGCTGGAGGGCCACTTAATGAGTTTTGGTGAGCTGTCGAGGGCTGCAAGGGCAGACCCAGGCTATGACAGTTGTCCCGCCCCCTGGTCACCATCTTGGGGCCAGAAGTCCCTCCCCTAACCTTTGCCAGTGGAAGTCCACCTTTTGGGAGGAAAGGGTTGCCATCTTGGAAACAGAAAAAAAACAAATCACACACTAAAAGTCAAACACCTATTATAACATCTTTTAATTCTATTACGAAAAATATTTTGTCATCATTTGTGTTTGCATAGTATATATAGAAATGATTACATAACAACTGAAAAATAAAGTCTTACTCTTGTATATTATGGAAAACATGCATGTGCGGGGAGGGAGGTTTGTGACTGGGTGTACTTGTATGCGTTGGGGGACAATAGGGTATGTGGTGGCTTGCGGGGGGCAGGCTGTGGTTGTGGCATTTGAAAGGTGCGAGGGAAGGTGGAGGGTGTGGGGAGCCCCCCCCCACACTTCGCCACCTCATGGTGCAGAACCCCCACTGCAGCAGCTCTGGCCACTGCTGCATGTGGTAGTAGGGAGTGAAGTCAGACTGGCCCACCTTCATGGCACGGAGCTCTGCACAGTGCACATGCAGCTCCCAGCACTCATGTGCCACTGGGGGAAGCCCCATGCAATGAAGCCAGTTGTCTTCGCTACTCCCTGCCATGCAGGTCTTAGGACTCTGCCGGAAGTGGGGCGGGGGGAGCCCCACCCCTTGCTTCCCAGCAGAGTCCTGGTCAGGGTCACTGCTGCCGCCACTGGGAGAGCTGCTGGGATTCCCCGTGTCCCGCTCACTCCAGGTACCAGGTTGGGAAGTGACAGGGGTGGAGCTGCAGCTGGGCGGAAGCGTAGAACATGGGACTGGAGCCGACAGCAGCGCAGAGCCTGCTGCACTCTTTGCCACCACATGCAGCACTGGCCTGAGCCACATGCCACTACACCCTGCTCACCCAAGCTCTGCACTCCCACACTCCTGCCCCCACCAGGCACAGGCTCCATGCTGCTGCCAGCCCCAGCCCTATGCTCCGCACTCCTGCCCAGCTGCAGCTCCGCCCCCACTGCTTCCCTACCTGGTGCCTGGAGCAAGTGGGATGCCAGGGAAGCCAAGCAGGTCCCCTGCCGGCTGCAGCAGTAGCAGCAGCAACTCCACTTGGACACTACGTGCTGGTTTTTGCCCATGTAGGTGGGAGCGAGGCGCATGGGCTGGGTGGCCTACAATTAGTTGGTGGGTGCCCACAGGCCAGATGAAATTGCCTGGTAAGCCAGATCTAGCCTGTGGGCCGTGTTTTGCCTGCCTCTGGTATAAGCCCTCCCACCTATAATTGCTCATGAATCACAAAGCTGTAGTAAAGCCAGTTGTCTCGTAACACGGGCCAGAAACCCTTCAACATGAACGGGGCTAAATGCCCCCCCCCAAAATAGAGGGATATTTCTTAAAAAGGAGCTATTGGTCCTTTTTCACCTACTGACCTAGAACAGTCGATACGCCCTCCCGTGCAACCTCTGAGGCTGTGGAGGGAGCAACCCTACTCTCCAATTAAAGATTTGGTGGATTAGCTACAAAAGTAACTTTGTGTTTGTTTACAGCACCTGTAATAAGTGTTCTGTGCTTAATGTGTCAAAATTCTAATCATAACTACTTCTAAAATCCCCAGGATGCCAAATTATTTACAGTAAGTTTTAGATGAAAACCAGTTCTTTGCTGAGCATGAGGAAAATCTTAGGCGTGTCTGCAGTTATGTAAAGCTAGAAAACAAAAATGATTCTCACTGAAAAAGGAATGATCCCATCCCTGAATTTAACAAGGCTAAATTTCAAAAGTCAATTCATTCTGAAGCACTTCCACAATGAAGTGTGAAAGGGTTGGGAAGGAATGTGGGGGAAGGAAGGAAGTAGGGTTTTTCTTCCTGATAGGCGCAATGGGGATAGATGAGCACACAGTTTGGCAAGAGTATTTTTGAACATTAATTTTAAAAAGTCTAAAGACAGAATAGCACTTATGTTAGAAACTTTTCTCTAATTTCCAGTCTAAATTTATGGTTAGTCTCTATATCCATTTGTTCTTGCGCCAAAACAGTCCTTCAGCTTAAATAGCCTTGCTATTTGCTGACTATAAATAGATGCGAGATGGAGATGGAAGTAATCATACCCTCCGAGCCTGTTTTGCAAGGTTCTAGACAAGCTTGTCTTCTCCTTATGATAAAACTCTCAATTTCCCAGATTATTTTAGGCCAGGGGTGCTCAATCTCTGTTAAATCCATGCTGATGTGCCCGTGGGCTCAGAACTTTCATGTAGCTCTGGAGCCCACACAATGCATACTGCCACTGTTACTCAGTCCCTTTTTCCTGCTGCTGAATTCAATGGGGAAGAGGGAGGCAAACAGTAAGGATTCTCAGCTGCTGAGCTCTGGAGCCCCAGGAAAATGTTGGCAGCTGGAAGTGGCAGTGGAGACCCACCCTTGGTGGTTCCATGCACGCATGTCCACAGGGCTCTGGCACAGCACAAGGCTGGCGACAGCACCTGAAAATACGAATTTCAAGTTTTGAAGAAAGCCTCACTGCTCTGCGGCACCACATGGCCCTATGTCCACCATTTTGCCATGACTCTCCACTTCAGGAAAATAGAGGTAGGGCACTAGGAAGAGCAGGAAGCTTGTGGTACAGTGCTGCCAGCTGAGCAATCTCCATCTGTGATCTGAAAGAATTATTTTATTGTCATGTCTTATGG